TTATTTATTTATTTAATTTCTATCTTCAACTTAATAAGAAACATGATAAGAAACAAGCAAATCAATGATTAAATTAGTTTATTGTAATTGGATAAGTTAGTTGTTGGTTATTGGTATAATTACATGTATTAATTGAACACAGATGTACTATTATAAGTGAAAACATACTGAATTTTCTGAATATTTTGCTAATTATATTATTATAACTCTATAAATTTTGACTATGAAAATTGTAATTTTATTGAATAAAATTGAAATATTCATAAAATTGCTTCCCAACAATTTATCTTCATTCATTAGTAAATGCAACTATCAAAATTGTGCCATTTTTGAATTAATAATTTAAAACAATAACAGTATGTGTTTGTTTTAATTGTTAAAAAAAATAGCAACTAATTGGGAATTATTGTAAAATAAATAGGTGGAAATGGAATAATAATATTTGAGGTGGAAATGGAATAATAAAATCTTCGGATTTTTTTCTACTTTCTAAAAGATTTTAACCGTTTGTTTGTTTGTTTTCTTTTTTTTTTGACTCAGAAAAAGAATTTTTTTAATAAACAAAAACAAAAGTAAAACCAACATTTCTTCCTTTTTTTTAAATTATTGAAAAAAAAAGTTATGCTTTCAAAAGGAATTTTATTCCAAAAATATTTTATGCAAAAAAAAGACCAATTGATTTAATGCACAATTTATGCTTATCACAAAAAATAAACATATCATTCCTTATCATTATGTTATCTGCCATTGTTTGATAACTAAATTATTGAAAAATTTAATGAATGATTGATGTTAAGTGTTATTTTAATAATTCATTAAATAATTTAACAATTTGCTTAGTTGTATAATTCATTCTCTTTGTTAATTTCAATCGTTTCTTCTTACTTTTTGCTTTATTTAAAAAAAATCAAATTCGGTTTAAATGGTTTAAATTAAAAAAGAAATCAAATTTACTATAGTGTCATGGTTTGAATTAAATTTATTTTTTAAAATTCCAACTTTCATGAAACATTCGATATTTTCTATTTGATCAACAAGTGAATGGTACTTCTCAACCGATAAAACGATAACGATGCTAATGATAATAAACGATGCTGGTGATAATAATTCCTTTCATTTTAAATCTTAAATGAGCATTTTATCATCTTAACATTATGCCTATTGTATCTTATAACTATTATATTTGTATATTAATCATAGATTTTTTAAAAAAAATTTTATCCATCAATTATCACGCTTATCACTTTATAATGTGTTTCATTCAAATGATTGTACACTTATCAATTAACAGGGAAATATGCATGTGGAAAATTCAAAAATTTGCATATATATGTGAAAAATTTAAAAATTAACAACAATTTAAGATTGCAATAGTTTTGTATAAGAAGAGAAAGGAACCTAAATTTAGTTTAAAATACTTGAATTAAATAACATTTTGATTGGTAATTAACTTGACAATTGTTGACGATTTCAAAGTTACTTCAATTTTTCTTTTTTTTTTTATTTTCATCCGTTCAAATGATTGTATTATCATTAATCAGCTATATCATAGTAAACCAAAGATCATAAATTTGTGCTATAACATAAAATCATAAAATGAATTTATTTACCCAAATACTATCTATTAATTAGAAAAAACAAAAAAGAAAAACAAAATATCGAAAATTAAAATGAATGCAAATTAAACTTTAACGGACATACTTTTTCAATACATTTCTTACTTTTCATCTTTTTTTCTTTTAAAAAATATACATTACTAATAGTTTAAAATACACATTTAATTAATTAATTGATGGCGAAGAATTACCTGTAAACAAAGTATATCAGAAATGAAATATCAACTTGTTATATAGGATGTATTTAAATACCACATAAAAAGTTATTTCTTATAAATTAAAATACATGTTTGAGAATTATCTTTATGCATAATTTAATAAATTAGGATTATTAATAAAATTACTTATAGCAACATCAATAAATTAAGTTGACATTATTAAAAGTAAGTCAACATTGTTAAAAAAGGGAAGCAAACGTATTCATTTCTATATTCGTTTATTTAATTAATTATTTGGTAATTAAAAAATTCTTTTACACATTTAATTTTACATGATGAATGAAAATAACGGATAAACCATTTCGTTAACATATAAATTTAATAATTTTATAAATTTTTTTTTCAAACATTAATTAATTTTTTTTTAAACACTAATTATGTCAAATAAAGCTTATCATAATTGTTTAGCATAGGTTTTTTCTTTTTTTTTTGAAAATACAATTTTGTATTATTTTACAAACAAAACATTTTAGTTCAATTTTTATTGCACAATTTCTATTTATTATTATTATATTTATTATTTGTTTGATTTTTTTTTTCTTTTTTTGATATAAAGAATAAGCGAGAAGTTTGAAAAAATAAAAATTTTGTAATTCTTTTTCTTTTTCGCTGTTTTCAAAATTCAATTTATTTTACAATTGTTTGGTAAATTTGACGAGATGATCTTTGATCATTATTATTGATTTATTTTCTCACAAATAATTTGTTGATAATTTTCATTGAAATGAATATTTTCCAACAAAAAAAAAAAGGAGAATTTTTTTTTTAAAAATTCTGAACAAACAAAATTGTAAAATAAAAAAAAAATGAAAAAAGTTTGAAATGCAAATGAGCATTTAAACGGAAAAAAAGAATTGAAAATACCTAATAAAAATTTATAAAATTTTTTTTTTCGTTTCATTTATACAAGTCGTTTTTAATGAGATCGATAATTATTCATGTTAGTAACTTCTCTTTCATTGTCACATTCTTCAAATTGCCATCATTTTCATCGTGATTAAAATCTGAATAAAAAAAATTTTTCTTCAATTTAAGAAAATATTAGGAAGTTTAAGGAAAAAGATTTCAAAAAGTTTAAATTAACCCTCTAATGCAACAATACATAATCAATAAAAAAAATGAAATTTTGTTACTGATTACGGTAGTTTTATCGTACCACTTATACAGTATCACTGATGTAAAAAATACAGTCTGGTATACAAATTCTTGATGATAAAATTTTGAATCATCAATCATCCAACATATAAGGTAACTTTCACAAAAGTAATGGATGATAGATGATGATACATGAAGGAAAAGAAAAAAAAAAAAACTAAATAACTTTAAATTTTAAATATCAATTAAATTAGTCGAAAAAATTAAATATCGATTGAATCAATCCGAAATTTTTTTACCATAATTCAAAACAATCAAATCAAATTTTGCTTAATATATAGCTATTTTTGTTGTTAATTTTCATTTATAGTTTAAAATGACAAACCTTTATTAATGAAACCGAACAAAAACAATACAATTACATGACCAACAATCCAAATAATTAACAACGGTTTTAACCATTTCCGGCTAATTACTGATCGATTAATTGTATTATCACATTCCTCAAATTTGAATTTGTTCTTTTTTTTTTTGTTTCTTGTTAGGTATAATGATGAAAAGAGAAATTTTTCGGCATTTAACTTATTGTTTTTTTTTCTTTTGTTTCATTTAATAAATAACTCGAATAACTAAATTAAACGAATTATTTTTAATTTCAAATTATCCATTAGAATAAATAAACTTTCATTATAGCTTAGTCTAACTGTTATTTGAATTAGTTTTATTTTTAAACATTCGTCATACAATATAATTTTAAATTCCAATTTTTCAAATAATTGTCAAATTTTAAAACAATTTAAAATTTTGTAATTTTTTTTGTGACTCATATTTTACTATGATTTTTGTTTCTCATTCTAATTTATAATTATCCATTTCATTTTATCACTTCCACCATTTCCTATATCAATTATCTCTTGTAAAATGATAAGTTTTTCATGCTTTTTAACTTTTCACTAGTCTGTAATTTCTAGATAGCCTTGAAAAACGGTAATTCTTTTGTAGAAAATTTTTTGGAATATTTAAAAATTTTGAAATTTCAACAAAAAAAAAAAATGATGAATCATCAAAACTTACAACAGTTGGATCAAGTTCTTTATCATCATCCGATATGCAATCAAGTCCTTTTTCAATTTCGGTCAAAAATATTTCCTCTTTTACTGAATTATCAAACAATTCATAAAATAATTTATTATCAGTTGGTGCCGTAATATAAAGCCATATCATTACAAGACCATTTAATGATACTACAATGATAAAAAGTGCTGCCAATATATACATTATTAATTGACGAAATGTTTGCTGCAAAAATTATAAATAATTAAATTTTCACATTTTGGAAATTTTATAATTTAATTAATTAGTAATATAATGATAATAATTTTTGGAATAAAGTAGATTATAAAATTTAATATATTAAAATGATTGTGCTAATTACAATTGAAATATGATAGTGTGTATGAGAAAATTACACAAATTAACTAATTTCTTTTAATTTAAAAAAAATTTGTACAATTCAAATTTTATGAAATACCTGTTGAGTTGTTTTTGGTTTTTAAATTTGAAGAAAAATGGCATAATTAATGACATTGAAATAAATATTGCTGCCGTTGATGTGCACCACAACAGTAACAATTTTTGCTCATGCTGAAATTTCATCATTATTATCTTTAATAATAATAGTGATAATTAATATGAGTATTAAATAATAAATAGTGAAAAATGAATGATGGATAGAGAATAATAATAATAATAATAATAATAATAATAATGATGATAATAATAATAATAATAATAATAATAATAATAATAATAATAATAATAATAATAATAATAATAATAATAATAATGAAT